GACGACAAATCAGTAAAAAAATAAACACATCATGCGAAGCATCAACACATATAAGAATTCGTGAACAAGATCAAGGGTAGTCATATTGAGTGCCCAGGACTAGATTGGCCAACCTGGATATGATCTGGGTACCCCCGGGGAAGTAATCAGTATCTGTCTCAGTATCAAAACGCGTCCGGAGGCATATTAAATGACATAAGATTAAAAAAAAAAAACATGTTCAATGGCAGTAATATCGTACTCCCCAGTCAACATAGTCCACTTTCGGACATGTTTCATATGTCTCCGAGAAAGTGGCCAGTTTCTGACTTGGATCACAGCCCATCATGAGATTTTCAAAGCTAGCTCCATGGTAGTAATATAGAGTGTGCTCCCACGCCACCACATTAGCTACATCCGTTATTGTTCCAGATATATCTGGGGAATCTATGAAGCATTGTGTGATTTTAATCGCATAATTCATACAATTTTTAAACTTCTTCCAAACTCAGTCCAAAGTTCCTTCCAATCTCTCACAGAATTTTATCTCAACTAACCTTGGAAGATTTTTTTGACCCCGAAGATTTTGGGTTTCTCTCAAAATATCTTTTGAATTCGCAAGAGGGTTTTCAGGCATCCCTTGAACATTTCTTCTGGCTTCTCTCGGAAGATTCTTTCAACTTCTCCTAGAAAATTATTCAAAAGAATTCCTCTAAAAGTTTCTTTAAACTTCTTCCGGAAGTTTCTTGTGACTCTACCGAGAAATTTCTTGAAAGTTTCTTAAATTCTCCACAGGTAGATTTTCAGAACTGCCCGGGAAGTTTCATCCAATTTTACCCAGGAATGCATGTTCTGTTCTGATGTTTCCTGTTTAATTCGGAAAATTTACTCACAGTTTTCTGGATGTTCCTTCTGATGTACTTCTGGAATTGCAACATTCTCTGATAGTTTTCCAGAAAACTTAAACAAAATTTCCCGGGAATAATTTTATGTGTAATATGATCTACTTTCAGAACAAACTGTTACACATTAGCTGTTTCTCAGGAAATTGTAACATTTTCCTGCGAATCAGGAAAAGTGATTTCTGGTCAATTTCCCGGAATGTCCCAAGTAGGAAACATTAGTTCTGGGTATACTCTGGGTATAATAATGAAAATTTGAATGAGCTGATTACAGAATCCAAGCATTGATTGCACATTCGCCAAAATGTTGATTGCATCGATTGCATAGGTGTGCGGCGGAATATCAGCAGTTAAAAAATAATAATTTTGTGTCTCACTTTTAGGGAGATTAATCAAACAATGGATACCACCAAAAGATAGGGCTTTACAAGTCTAAAATTTTCTTCCAAGACACTATGTGGCGGAAATGGCTCTAATGTTGGCATATGGATCTAAGATTGGGCCCATCGCTAAAAATCTGCTATTTATCAATTTTATCTAGATGAACGCGTCATTGGGACGGTACCAATGGATATTTTTGGTCGCTATTGAAAATTTAGTTGATTGCTGAATTTATGTATGGGCCCAAATTAGGGGCATTTAGGTCGACATTACATCCATTTCCCCTACCTAAAATAAAAGGCTTTGGAGTAATTCCACGCGATCACATTTTTCACCATTTGGACCACTGCGAACACTACTGGCTGCTATGAGACCAGCGAGCTTGCAGCATGGAGGTGCTCCGCGTGCTTAATACACTGCCTAAGTATTATAAATATCACCGAAATGTGTGATTGAGATAGCGTTTTCAAATAATCAAATATAATCAAATATGGATACATTTTTCAACACTCGAAAAAAAAAAATTCCAGTTTGTCATACAGTGTATTCAGAAAAACAACCACTCATAACCATACACACACATTCAGCTAAATTTTCTCCGTCAGAACAAACGCAAGAAGACATTCTGTTTGAAATATGACTCACAAGTAAATAAAACCGAGTATACCGGTGTGTAGGAATAGCAAATATTGACATCCTCACATCTTGTGATGAATGGCGCCTCCAGTTTGAATAAGAAACAAATTCCCATGCCCACACAACCTCTACAGGCTGTGCCCTTCGAAACTCAGCACCGCTCACCTGTTGATGTTCTGATCTGACAAAGGATCAATGAAACTCTTGAGCGTGTACATTTTCAACTACACGTAACGTAACATTTCCCCATTTAACAAGACAACTCAAGACTTGAAAACATGCTTTGTCTTTCCAGGTGACACCTTGTTAAAACTGTCTTTTTTCTCGTCCGCAGAGATGCACGGCATTTAATCCACCCAAGTGAAGGGATTATCTCACGCTGACCGGCACTAACAGACATCGCGAATCGTGTGGCCGTATCTCGCCTACAAGATCTCTGGTCACATCTCGATCCTTGGATTCTGATGCAGACGTTCAGATATGTACTTTCCCATAAACAAAAATAAAAACAACAACTGCATTCAAGGAGACGATGTTATGCTTCTACACCTCATCCGGAGTTTATAGTTGATATCTCCCGATGAAGATTTTCATCATCAACATTTCTCATTGTTAATTTAACGTAGCGGTCGGTCGTTGTTGAGAAGAGCAGTACTTATCACGACTGCGGAAGATGCTGGGATGTTGTCGTCTTCCGCACGTCGTCGTTGTTTGTCCGAGTCAAATATGCAACAAGATTAGATGTTATAAAGTTTTCAGACAACGAGGCTCGCCCGTTCTCACAAACTGGTGGTAACATCTGCAACAGCAGCCACAACAGGGAGGAACAAACGGTACCTTACCACGGTGACGACGCAAACATCCGTGAAGGAAGATGGATTTGTTTTTGGTAAACTTGTCAACATGGAGAGTGAATTTTCCGGTCGTGTGAAATTTCCGATTGATCCGAAAAAAGTGTGTTATGTACTTTAAACCAAATGAAGGGACGTATGATTTACTTCCGGAATTTTCAGCAATTTACTTTTTAAACGGATTATTATAATTAATATCTTCTTAGAAGTCAGTGAGTATAGTATAAATTTCTCTACTACGGAAAAGTGAGACAGTATTTTTCCACAATATTTATGGCGTGTGTAATGCGTTTGTAATGAACGTCAAGTAAAAGTTGCAGGATGTCAATATCCAGAATGTCCTGCAGTGGCCTGAAAATTATCAATTAGAACACAACAACAATAAACAGTTATTTAAACCTCAAGACTTGTTAAACTTATTTCGATCCTGGCTTTCAAAAATGATATAAATACTGAAACTTGCATGTTGATTTCTCTGTGTTTATAAACAATTTATTCGGGGTCTTGGAAAAAATAAATTACTGGCTTAAGGTGATACTCTAAGGAAGCTTTAGCATGAAACTTCAATTGCTACTCCTTGTTTGCTGCGCTACTATAAACAGAGAGTACCAATTTCATAATTGTTTGTTTTGTGGAAGCTGACATTTGTGCTTTTTGAGTTTCACTCTAAGGCTTCCTTAGAGAATCACGCTAGCTAAAGTTATCATCCTTATTTTTGTCTTATATTTCAAGATCTGCAGTACGAAGCTGATACATCCATATTTGTCCTTCTCCTCAATGACCCAGCATTGTTCTTCTCCAAATGACAATTCACCTTCTAATTCCATTAATAAACTCCTGCCATCTTTGGAAATATTTAATTCAAAATGAGGCACCCTAATGGTCATTCATACATTTATTTTGCAATTTAAATATTGAATTCAAGTTACATCATTACCGATTTAAATATCAATAGTTTAGCGATTCTTGAATTGATGAAAAGGTCCAACTGAAAAGAAATCTTGAAAGTTGCACAAATTATGCAATTAAAAAAAATGTCACCACCCATGCTTCTGGAATGTAAACAACTGCGTGCAAACGAAAAGTTTAAAATTTCATCCCAGCCGGTTGGAGTTATTGCCTCTTATTTCCCACTTGTTCTGTATTTGTTTACGCTTCCGTCATCATCCGGCCCGGGCGGGGGTCAGAGCTCTCTGCTAAGTCGCGAAATCCGAATGGAAAGCAATCGGATTCGGATCAGTATCAGCAGCAGAGGAAGTCTTTCCAAATTCGCCAACAACATTTTTGTGAACCAAAAAACAAAAAATGCGGATCTGCGCGTGGAGCGTGGTTGCGGGCAGTGACATGTACGAAGTGTATCATGTGCTAAAAATACACACGAACAGGATTTAAAAATAAATATCAGTGATTTATTCATTTTGACAAGTTTTATTTTTGGGTAGTGTGACTAATTTGGCGTACTTATTCGGAAAATGACTGGATACTTGTGTTGGATTTACTCGTTCAGCTATACGTTGTCTTTTCTAAAAGGGAATCATCACAGTTTCAAGCAAGTTGTGCGGGAAGTTACTTAGAATCCATTAATGACAAAGCCAACGTCACACGTTCGCAGTACATGAACACGTGCTTACAACTGTACAACACAAAGCCGGAGCTGGTACCATGAAACATAATGACATGGTTTGAATTTAACGAATCTCGTTTATGCAATTTTTATAGGCAAGTGTCTTATTGTTGCTAGCCCTGCCTTTGATTGCCTCGCGTAGTAAATCCACTGTCGCGAAACAGGCTGACTAGAAGCATACTTTTTTATATAGATAAATAATAAAAACAACCATAATGATACATTTGACCCTGTCCCACTTAAATGAAACATGAGCTCAAGTTGTTGTGCTTTTTTCCATCTCTCGTCATATTTTTTCCCTTTTAAAATCATGTCAGCCATCTCGGCAAACGCCAAGAAAACCGAACCGAACTGTCTATCCGTCTGTCTGGCTGGCTGGCTCGTGGAGGAATGGTAATAGATTTGATCTCGCTATTCGAAGCCTATTGATAACTCTTAGCCAAGTGCCGTCGTAGAAATAAACAGTATTGGGCTTGTGGGATATCTGCGCGTTCACCAGTCAAAGCATTTTGTTTACAATATTGCCTTGTAGTACTAGTAGTAGTAGTTATTTCTTCTTACAATCACCACCATCAACTCGACAACATTTCCCATAAATTATGTCTTATTTTCCTCCTCTCTTTGCAGTTGGTATTAGAGAGCCTTGCGTGAACGAAGGTGAAGAGGTCAAAATCGACATGACAGCATGCTACAAATGCATTTGCAAGGTAAGGATAATCAGTTTTGTTGCCGGGAGGCATCATAGAATGGACGATTGTATAAGAACTAAACGCTGATGCTGAATCGAGTCACGATAGAGGTGATTATCATAAACTAAAAAAGGCAAAGTGGAAATTTATTTGAATACTCTTTTTTTTCTAATTATGAAAAACTTTTTAAATCCCGACTACCAGAATGCACGAATATCAAAGTTGTTTCAGTGATATAAGAAGTTCCCGAGTAGAACATTTCAGTCCCAGTTGTTTATGACAGAAATAAGTCGTAAGTATGCAATAGCGTTTGGTACAGGGTGTCCAGGGAATTCGATAAGTATACCTAAAGAGCATACTGGTGGAGACCGGAATGCTTTATGGACAGATTCAGGGTTCTTAAATCAGGATTTCGGAAATGCATCTGGAGTCGTTGAGACGGGAAAATTGTACTGCTTTTAGACCCGCTGAACTTTGAAAGATGTCTAGCAAAACTTCAAAACTGGGTATATTCTGAACTCAGATTAAGATTCGTCTAAAAGGCTGAAGAACTTTATGTGGACACAGGACCACATTTCATGGACCAGTGATGACTTGAATAAGGTGATCTTTTTCAAACTTTCACCGGTTCGCCGCCATTTTTTTGTGATACCATCAGACCCAAATAGCATTACTTTCGTGTCATCTGACCAGATCACCTTATTCCAGTCATCACTGGTCCATGAAATGTGGTCCTGGGCCCGCTTCAATCTTTTTTTGATATTTTTTTACGGACAACCATGGCTTCTTAAGAGCTACTCTGTCCTTACGACCTTTCTTATGAATACGATTTCGTACGGATTGTGATGTCAGTTGAATGGAAAACTCGCTTTCAATCTGTTTCGCAATTTTTGGAGTTGATAGTCCCCGGTCCAGCTCCGCCTTCTGCACAATAGCTCTGTCAATTCGGCCAGTTGTCTTTGAAGAACGCCCCGATAGCGATAGCTGGTGAGATAGAACCACGCTTTTTGTACATCTGCACAATTCTAGCGACCGTATCTTTGCGAAACTGGACAATATCGGCAATATCACGGTAGCTTTTGCCATTTTAGTGATGTTCAATAATCAAATTTCGGATACTGTTCGAAATTTGTGCCTTTTTGGGCATTTTACAACAAATAACTTCCAATTTTGAACACGAAACTGAAATTTTGAGCATGAAAACTTCAAGAGCGCTGAATGACAGCTAGACACAATGTTTACATTCGAGAAAGTTGCAGAATACACACTAAAACTCTGTAAAAAACACTCAAATCGTAGTATCCGTTTGGGGGTGGATAAACTTTTTTTGCGTAATTTTTAACATTTTTTTTTCAAAATTTATCACATGAAATCTCTGTGATAAACATAAGTTTGAAAATCTTAAAAATTCACCTTTTTTTATTTTAATGAAGTTTTAAGTAATTGGTTTTGTTGATTTTTTTTTTTAATAATTGGTGATTTTTTTTAATTGTGCATTTTATTCTGAAAGGACCATCTGGTTTCCTACTACTTTTTCTCAGACTTTATGTTGATTAGATGAGCCGTTTTTATGCTATGATTTTTTGAAAAATATCGAATAAGGTATTTCAAAAAATTTAGGCGACAGTCAAAATGGCCGAACCACAACCTTGCAGAATAATTTTGCGAACTTTCATGGAATTTGGAGAAGGTAAAATGAAATGGATTCGTCAGTTTACGTGAATTTGTTCAGTTTGATCCTTAAGATTTTGAACAGCTTACCCAAGTAACAATTTTGGTTTTATGAGGGTTCTGTAGACCATAATTTAGACTTGTAGAATGTTTTAAAACCTCTATAAAACTTGGAATGTTACTTGAGTACATTAGATTAGGCTGACTTTTGAAGCAATTATGGGATTTGACGCTGTATCTTGAAATATCTTTTGCTACAAATTGGTTACAATGGAAGTGAGTACGTAGACTTTCACGGAAGATCTCACCTATTTGAATATTAATATTTCATTGGGGAGTTTGGTAAAGAGAGATGATTAAACCGATTTGTACCTTCCTAAAAAGTTGTCCTTGCTCACTTTCAACTCTCTATTTACAATTTTCATACTGCCGTACTCTAACGGAACTATCAACTCTATACTAACTTACCACTTTAGTCTGTTATTTGACATTAGCATCTTCAACTACATCCAAGAATATTTGTTGATAATTCCAAGTTTCTTGAAATGGAATTCCAAGAAAAATTCCTAGGTAATCAAATTCTGAAGATAGCGCTTAAAGATTTCCACGGAGTATTCTTCGAAAATTAAGAACAAAATACTAAATTTCTGCGGAAATTTTCAATTTAGAGGAAAATTCCATAGGAATCCTGAGAAGAATTTTGAAAGAATTTTGCCAAGGAGAATTCCATAGGAGCTTAGGAGCATAGGAACAGCATAGGAGAGTTCCATAGCATATCGTCGGACAGTTTTTTGAGGTGCAATTTCAAAAAACCAAAATCGACGGCTTTACGAAAAGTGGTCAGGTTTTGATCTCTTATAACTCTGTCAATAGCGGATGGATTTTCTAAAGTGGATTGGTTTCTAAACAAGCCAATCGATTGGAAATTTTTCTACAAATCTGCTAAAATGAATTGAAAATTACACAAATGTTCCAACTTTTGCAATGGTGATCTAAAACGGCGTTTCCGTGATGGAAAAAGTGGTTTCCCTAACACAGTCGCCGAATATTGATACCGAGCCCGTAATCCTACGTTAAATCTATAATATAATGATATTCAAGATGAATTCTAATTTGCCCCGTAACGTGGGTAGATCACCTTTTCGTAGTACGTTACGGGATGTAAGATCTACCACCGATTCCTAGTCCTGACTACTTCAAACTAGGGGAACAGGATTTTTCAGTAATCCAAGGAACACATCTTAGTCCTTGTTACTTTTTATGTCTTGTTGATAGTGACAAGACTCGGCTTTGTCTACCGAGGATGATCTTGAAACAAGGGACAAAAATGAGTTAGTTGTCTTCATCTATGTGATTCCTAATCTTCTATTCGTTTTTCCCTAGTTTGAAGTGGTTAAGACTAGGGTTCTGATGCATGGTCATTATCGGTGTCAAACCTTAATTTTGTTGCTAAGGAATCCAATTTTGACTGACAAAGGGGCGCGCCTTTGGAGGGTGTTTCAACACTCCGAAGGGTATAAATAGCGGGACCTTTCAATTAGAGTCGGATCCTTGCGATAAATGCAAGAGTGGCAACTGTAAAAAAAATCGAATACTTCATCATTTCTCAATAGTTATGGAGTAATACGACATGCACTAAACTAAGGACACGGGATATACTACAATAGATCAATTTACTGGTCACAGTAGTGTTAGGTCCCGAACAGAGGAAAAAAAAATAACGAAGGTATAATGAAAAAAAAAAATGAGATTATGCAGTGTTTTCTATCGTTCGCAGCTGAAACAAAATCTATATAGTGGAAATGGATGTAATGTCGGCCTTAATGCCCTTAATTTGGGCCCAACATAAATTCAGCAATCGACTAAACTTTCAATAGCGACCAAAAATATCTATTAGTACCGTCCCAATGACGCGTTCATCTAGATAAAATTGATAAATAGCAGATGTTTAGCGATGAGCCTAATCTTAGATCCATTGGCCAACATTTGAGCCATTTCCAAGGTTGCAAATACTCATTTCAGCTAAAATAATGTTTATCGGAATAATAAAATCAAAAGATGGTATGATGACATGTTTTACTTGTAACTTACAAGAAGAGGTTACACAGTTCGCGTTTGAAACATAAAACCTGTAAATTTTACGTTCTATGAGTCACAATCAGCGTTTTGCTGATCGCTGAGTGAGTGAGTGAGTGTGTGAAAAATCGCTGATTGTGACTCTCATGAAGTGAAATAAACAGGTTTAATATGTCAAACACATTCTTTGCAACCTCTTCTTGTATCGTACCTATTCAAAATATGATCATAGCATCTAATTATTTTATAATTAAAAAAAAAAAACATTGTTTTAGTTGAAATGAGTATTTGCAACCTTGGCCATTTCCCCTTTATATGAACATGAATTTCTGTCTGTCTGTCTGACCCTCATAGACTCGGAAACTACTGAACCGATCGGCGTGAAAATTTGTATGCACTGGTTTTTGGGGGTGGTAAAGGTTCTTATGATGGTTTGTGACCCCTCCCCCCTCAGTAAGGGGAGGGGGCTCCCATACAAATGACATACAGAAAAATATAGCATGCGTTTTTTAATCGGCCAATAAACTCAAGCTGATATTGAATCCCGAGCAAGGCCGGGCACACTCAGCTATATAAAATTGGGTGTCCGAAATTTGAATCTCCTCAAAGACAAGACAAGTGTCCGAAGACTGAATCTTGGTGGCCCTAGTTAAATAACATTTTTTCGAATAGTTTTGATATCACCTTTAAAATATAATCTTAAGGATAAGGATATTTAAAAATTGTATCGAAGAAACGAAACTAAATAATGTGTTACCATCAAACATATGTCAGTTTTCTAGGACTAGGATTGTAATAAAAATCTTCCAAAATTTTAAAATCTGACAGTACTTTATGTATACTAATGCAACTTTTTATGCTTTATTGCTTTTCGCGAACAATGGCTGCAGAATCATTGAGTGTCCTTACTGAAACTCTGCCAGCTACGTAGTATTGATCATAAGATAACCTTTGAAGCTAGTGGAATCAATTAACTCCAACTTACATCTTATACGATACGATAGAATCTGTTACTTTTTTGTATTAAATGAAGGCATTGTTTTTTTTTTTGTGGGCACACTTTATTTAACAACTTCCTTCGCACCTTCAACGGTTATTTTTCTTCCAACCTGCTTTGGACCTATGTTAATTTCCAAGCAGTCCTATTCAAGTGGCCATAATTTATGACTTTTTTATTCCTCATCCCTAAGGTAGAATTATCGTCATCCATGTTATCCTCACATCAAGAGACTTCTGCCAGATTTGTGAATCAACACCGTTCACTTGAATCG